CTAGACGCTGAATGTTTGGGAAATTTTTACCATAGAACCCCTTTCTATCACTGAGCTTATCACAGAGCTGGCCGTCCAAATGACATTGTTCGTAACTTCTCGGATGTCCACGACAACAGCATGCTTCAAAGAAATACCCTGGCTTGAAGAGCTCCGAAAGAAGCATGATCCGAAGTATCCTTTTCAAGACCTTGTAATGATAGAGCCTGGTCAAAGAAGCTTCAATACACCTTAAAACTAAGCCGAAAACCCTGAACCTTATAGGTTTAGATTCCAAACCCCAACCCCCCCCCCCCCTCCCGGTTTTCAAGAGCCCTCGGAAGCTGCCTCGTGAGCATCGAGGGCCTGTCGCACAGCCTGCAAAGAGACGGCGAGAAAGGGAAGAGCAAAGGGTTTAGGGCTTAGGGTTTCAGGTTCGGTTTAGGGTTTAGGGTTCAGGATTTGGGGGTCTACTTGGAGGTTGATGGGTAAATTTTAAGTGGTGTGATAAGTCCCCTAATTTGGCTGCTAAATCCTATAAACCTCAAACCGTGTATGGTTTTTGAGAGCTTGCACGCATTGATAAGGAAGAGCGAGCTTTGGGAGGCCTTTTTGGGATAACCAGGAAGAAAAAGGGCTCCCTTTTTGGTACTGAGTATATAGTTTCGCAAGGAACCTAAGACCCGCAAAAACCGAAGAAGGGGCTTGGGAGACCATGCTTGGTACCCAGAGAACCCAATAATTACCCCTTACGTAAGGAATCCTAGCAAACCCTACTTTTTTGTAGGTTCTTAATATAAACCGTAATATGAAATTTATAGGGACCCGACAAAAAAGTAGGTTTTGGTAGGTTAAGGTATAGCTTAAATCCCTTAATTAAGGAACATGGTTTAAATCATAGTAAGAAGCCCCTTGTGATTTAAGGTATAATCCTTACTTGAAGTGTACTGGTGTCTCTGGGCACCTATAGACAAGGGGTTTCATGTAAATGCGGGAGCGGGTTGGCGGCCCTTGATGCGGGAGCCAGGTTCGGTCTGCGGCCGAACTCGAATAAAGTCATGTATGATGGGCCTTACCTGGACCCCGAAGTAGTTCCTTTTTGGGGTTCATATAGAGAATCCTATAAGGCAATCCCAAAAAGGAACTACTATGGGGCCTCTGGGTACCTGGACCCCAAAAGTATATATGTAGAACCAGGGTATAGGTTTTGGACCATTACCTACTTTTGGGGGGTTTAAGTATTAATTAGAACAGAGTCTTGGGCTTTTTGGGTATGAAAATATAAAGGAACCCGAAGGAATAACGTTGGCAATCATTTAGGCTTCTAAATTTGTCCGGCGACGGCCACCGCTCCGGTCTTGTGATTGTCACCAGCATTATAGGGACCGGAACATACTTGCAGCACCGCCTGATAGTGCACAACATGGGCGACCAGGGCCCTAGCTCTCACCGAGAGCTTGAATCAGTAGTAGACTTCGCTCCGGCCTTCCTCGAGAGGTCGCGAGGCCAGCTCCCGGAATGAAACGCGTTTTGGCGCCGTGGCCAGGAGTGACGTGAGAGGAAGTAGCAGTGCCTGAAGCAGCAGTGCCTTTGCCCTCCTTGCCTTCTTCGCAGCCTTTTTCCGAGCTTTCTCGCCGCATTTCTCCTGCTTCGCTAACCCAAAGGGTCCTATGTAGTGTTATGGGGGATACTTCCCTGGATCGTAATAGTAATTCCTAATAAAGAAACCCTACATTCTACAATACAGGTACTTATAGGACTCTTTGGGACTATTATGATTACCACTTAGCACTGCGGGCTACTATATGAAGGCAAGTGCACTGTTCAGCTAGGGTCACGTTACGAGGAAATGTAAGTGTTCCCGGTGCTCCCTCCTTTGGAAAGCACCTTAAACCGCAAAATCCTGAACCCCTGAACTCCACAATTAATCCTATAGACTATAAACATCTAAACACAAAGCCGAGCTTTGGAAACCTGAAACTCTTGACCCTGGAACCCTTACCTCCAAACCTAGAAAAACCTGTCTAGGGTTTACGGCTCTAGGACTTTAGGAATCAGGGACCCCCCGCCGCCGAAACCCTAAACATCAAAAACCCTAAACCGTGCCCCCCCCCCGCTCATCTTTGAATAGCAAACCGACTGGCTTTCAATCCCTACTGACCCCCTAAACCCTAAACCCTTACACATCCCTTTTAACGGAGACCTCAACCTCGAATGTCTTTCTATCCCTGATTGCACCTGGGCGACCGGCGCATCCTGCCCTGTCTTCTGCGCCTGCCCCTCTAAGAGCCTCGGTGCCATCGCTAAGTGGATAAAAAAGGTTGATGGGATTATGGGCGTTCCTTTCAGGGGTCCCTGAAAGGGCCCATTTAAAGGGAGCTAAAGGGCTTAGGGTTTATAGGGTTTAGGGGTTTAGGAGTTTAGGATTTACAGGGGGTTTATACCAGGACCCCCCAAGCACCCTTTAATAGAGCCCTCATTTTCCTTAATAGTGGGCATTGAGGGCATAATAAAGATGGTAGTTTGGGGGTCCGGGTACGGTTTAGGGGTTCAGGGCCTAGGATTTAAGGTTTGAGGTGGGGGCGGCCGGGGTTGGGACTGTAGGGATTGGGGCTCACCCGCAGGAACGATAAACGCAAGGACAATTAAACGAGTCGACACAGCAGAGTGCCTGTCGGCTGGGTCAGATTGTCGGGGCTTAGGGTTTGGGGTTTCGGGGTTTAGGGTTTAGGGCTTTAGGGATTAAGGGTTTAGGGGTTTAGGGGTTTAGAGTTTGGGGTCTAGGGGTTTAGGGCTTTACGGGCCCTGTGACAAAATCAAAGAAGAACCTGTAAAGACTTACCTGACGCCTGCCCAAGAGGAACAGAGCTCCCGTACCCGCCTTTAGAAGCACCGAAACTACGGCTTTGTGGCAGGTAATATATACCAGCAAAGCTGCCAAAACGCACTGAGACCCTACGTACATCCCCGAAACCCTAAACCCTAAACCCTAAACCGTTCTAGATGCCCGGAAAGCCTCTGAACCCTCGGGCTCCAGTTACCTCAAGACGTTGGGATATTAGGGTTTAGGGTTTAGGGTTTAGTATGTTTAGGGTACAGGGTGTATGGTTAGCAAGCCACAATTGAGGTGGCCGGTTTTGGTGTAGATTAGTTTGCGTCAGTTATACAACGTGCAGGAACCTGGGAAACATAAATCCTCAACTATAAAGCAGAATATAATTGCAAATTATTCCAGCCACTCTATATGCGGGCTCTTGCTTCTGAGACAGGTTTCTGGGAAGATACACAGTGCTTCCAAAATCCCACACTTCCGGTATCCTCCTGAAGAAGCAGCAAGGATCCCTGCTCGGTGCAGGGTTTAGGCTCTCCTGAAATTGCAGTATATAAGGATCCTAGTCCGGTTGTAGGGTTGAAGGTTTAGGAGTGTAAGGGACCTCTTTGCGTGGCTCTCAACCTGAAGGCTCAGTGCAGAGTGGGCGGCTTCTCGTAGATCGTGCACGACCGCGACGGCACGACCTGGTTTAGGCTTGATGGGTTTAGTTTGATCCACTTGGGTTTGGGTTTCGGGTTTGCGGTTCAGGGTCTTTGTCAGTTTCGTGGTTAGGGTTTAGGTTCTTTGTTTGGTTTAGGGATTTAGAGCTTGGGTCGTTGGGTTGATAGTTTAAGGTTTGGCGGAAAGGATTGAAGAAGCTACACCGAAGTCCTGCAGCTCTTATTCCCTGGATCCCTAAAGCAGGAACCCACAATCCGACAAACATCGAACGCGAACAAACGCACTCGGAACGCCAAATGCGCTTCGGTGGGGGTGTGGCCAATGCTGAATCAGGTCTTGAAGCGAGATTTGAGAAGATCCTCCACAGGTTCACCGAAATCATGCCCGAACCCTCAAACCTAAGCCACAGTTCTATCAGGGTTATATAGAGTTTGGCATTTGGGCTTGGGTTCAGGGTTCAGGAGCTTGCGAGTTTCTAGGATCGAGGAGTTGCATATAGAGCTGGAAGGCTTGGGGCTTGGAGTTGAAGAACGGTTTAGGGTTTAGGGTGGCAGGGATTTCGGTTTAGGAGTCAAAGCTTAAGGCTTAAGGTTGAAAGTCGACACCACCTACCCTGGTAAACCCTAAACCCCAAACCCTAGGAGGCCTTACGGCCTCAGCTGGAAACGTTGAGATCTGAGAGCTGAGGATCACTTCCCCAGCGGGGCATGAAGGGCTTGACCTTCATAGGAACCGGTATAGACCCCTTGTAGAAACCTTTCAGAAGGAAACCGATAACTTTGCCTATATCCATACATAACCATGCTTACTAATTACTAAGTCCCCTGATCCTTTTGGCTTTTCGAGCTCAGCAGTCAAGCCGACTCCTTGAGTAAGAATGGAGGTGTACACATGTCGCTTTCAAAGCCAGTGGCCTCGAAATTGAAATTCGGCAGGTTATCCTAAGGGTCCAAATTCGGCAGGTTGCCAAAGTATGTACTATTCGGGTACATGGACCCTTAGGGTTGGCAGTCTGAATCCACCGGCAACTTCCCGTCTGTGCAGCGGACGACAGCGGCTGCAAACAAGCGGTTCTGAATAGTGAGCATCGCGGCAGCACCTGCTTTCCATCTCAGAACTTCATTGGCAGTGTCCTAAACCCTAAACAGGAAGGTTCATGTTAGTCAGAAGCGGGCCCAGAAGTGATACGTAGTGGACTGGGGGGACAGTTGGAGCATTGAGCCGCTGAGCTCTTGGGGTTTACGTTGACAGAGTCTTGCCAGCTTTACACCCAACGCACCTATGCATACACACTCGCACAGCGGCACCTACATGTAGCACCAGCGCAGGGCAATCTGTGGCTCGACGGATATCTGCCATGCCGCGACGGCTAATTCTCACCAGCTCGTTGAACCGTGTCGAAGCAATCTTGCTGACCAATTCATTACGGCCCTTCGAGTTTATTGTCCTCCTCCAGGGCTTCATCCTCGCTTAGGCTATGAGGCCGAATCTAGCTGGACATGCTGTTCACGACATTGAGCTTCTGGAATTATGTCCGCCATCTTGCGCGGTGAGCAAACTGCCAGGGTAGCCTTGTCGCCCTCTTGTGTAGCTTTTCCTCACTGGTGGGTCCCGAGCAAGACAAGACGGTCAACCCTTTTGGTTCCAAATGGGTGAACTTGTAGGGTTTAGGCATCAGATGTTAGGGTTGTTTTCACGCGAAGAGGTTCAAAGCCACTTGCTTTGCAGTGAAGTGTCATCGACATGTAGCCCACCACTTCGCTGTTTCAAAGCCACACTCTCCACGAGCTTCTGTGGCAATCGCTCTGAAAGTGCAGGGATAGCCGCTAAGACTGTGGGAGCTGCCTCTTGCAGGTTTGCAGATGCCCAATAGCAGTTCGACAGCTCTTGCAGGCTCATTCCGTTCGCCTTTCTCGGGATCGCGCTTGCGATGGCAGGAACCGCTCTAAGCACGGCTGGTGCTGCCTGTTGCAGATATGCAGCTGCCCACAAGCAGTTCGAGAGTGCCTGTGGAATCATTCTGTCGACTTCCTGTGGAATGCGATCAGCCACCCAGGGGACGAAGGCCAGAACGGCCGGCACGCTTTCTTGCAGGTTTGCTGCTGCCCACATACAGTTCGACAGATGCTGGGGTAGCCTGGGATCTTGTCAAGGGACTCATTCAAACTTGAAGCTTACAGAAGCAGCAAACTGAACCATACATGTTGTCTGTTATGCAACTCCATGATGGTAACCGAAGGCTGCTGTACCACAGTCACTCGAATTTACTCTCCTAAAGCACTGGATTGAAACTTAGATATTCAAAACCCTAAGGGTCCATGTACTCACATAGTATATACATTGGCCTTCGTGTAGCCCCTAGGTACTTTCGGGCTCACGTATCTCTATATGGGTACATGGACCCTTGGGGAAACACACCAAGGGGCATGCTCTCCGCTTTCTGCGGTATGCACCTCTCTTCTTCAACAACCGGGCCCCCAAAAGTTCAAACTTTCTAAGATAGAACTAATATATAAGGCCAAAAAAGTTTAAAGTTCCCCTGTTCACGATCTAAGGCACTGAGCCATAGCAGGCACAGCTGCCAGGACCCCGGGCGAAGCCTCCTGAAGGCTCGCAGCCGCCCAGAGGCAGTTGGACAAGTCCTAGCTTTGGGGGGTTCATGGGTAGTCATTGGGTACTGTCCCCCACACAGTAACAGTCTATAATCTGAAATAGGGCGATTTTTAAGGTCCAAATATGTCTCTATTATGAATATTATCCAACTGTTACTGAGTGCGGGCAGTACCCAAGGTAGTTATAAGTAGGGTTCCGTTAAGGGTTCTGTGGGATTTGGGGTTTAGGGATTCGGGTTCATAGGTAGCTATAAGTTGGGCCGTAAGCAAGTAACTACACTCATAACCGACATTAAGGGACGTGTAACCCCACTTCTGCCTACTTATGAACTTCCTGACATTATCACCCAAAGCGTCCTATCTATATACTGTTGCGGGGGATACTTCCCTGGATCATGATAGCAATTCCTAATATAGAAACCCTACATTCTACCATACAGGTACTTAGGACCCTTTGGGTCACCCTTTCTATGATGTTGGGGTTGTTACTTGGCACACTATACTGAGGACCCTACTTGTTGTATATGCAATGTTTTTTTTTTTTTTGTGTTTGTTTGCTGCAGTGTAATTACCTATGAACCCGCTTGGAACCTGAAAGTTCAAGCTGAAGAAACTGTTACGCTACCCAGCTGCGAAGAAGTCCTGGGCGTTAAAAGTCGAAACCTTTCCCGGGATGCGCGCTGCCACCGCAGAGACCACGGCCAATGCTTCAGGGACCTTCTCTTGCCTTGGGTGCTGCTCTGGACTTTGAAGTAATCAGGGAGAAAAAGTATAGACTTTTATTTCATAATGGTTCCTTTAAGGAACAGGTACCCACAAAAGTATTCAAGCATGGCACTCCAAACCCAGGTGTTGCAATGACCCTTAAGGGTCCGTGTGCCTATTAGGTTCCTCTATATACGGTCTTTGGGGCAATCAAACCTAAATAGCCACCTCCCTCCCTCCGACCAAAAAGACTTAAACAAAAGAATCCTTTAGCGCGGGTACTCCCAAACGTAAACCCTCACATAACGGCCTTAAACCTTGATCATGTCAGGGCTTTGGGTGTATATCGCTGCATAATCTCAGTCATAGTACAGTGTCGCATAACTAACAAAGCCTAAACCCTGGCCAGTTGCAAGTTGGCCACACTCCAGAGGATGTTTGCCAATGCCTGGGTTGAAAAAACACTCAATAAACTGTATAAAAAGCCTAAACCTGTGCTACAACATCACTAATTCAGTCAGTCAGCGTCAAATCCTTCCAACACCTCGATAGATCCCTACAGGCCTTTTCTATAGCCCTGTTGGAATCAGACCCTGCAGAACCCCTTCTTAAGCCGTTCACAGCTCCATGAGCCCGGAGCATCCATGTAATCATATAGTATATGCTTTGGCCTTGGCCTTAAGGTCCACGCACCCAAATAACGTTCCTTTGAGGGCTCCTTTAAAGGTCCTAGAAGGGTTTAGTTTAGGGTATAAGGGCATATACCCAAATAGTATATGCTTTGGCCTTAAGGTAGTCCCTATATCATATAGGTACCTCAGGGCCAAAGTATACACTACTTGGGCACACGGCCCCCTAAGTCCAAAACCCTGAAGAACCCTTATAGAACACGCATAGAACCCTTATGGTACCCCTAAAGGAACCCTTAAAAGAAGCCTTAGAGGAACCCTGAAGGCAGCCTTAATAAAGGAAGCCTTAAAGGAACCTATTTGGGCACATAAACTTTTTAAGGGCAAACCCGAGAGCCGAGCCAGCCGAGCTGCCTGCGGAACGAAATCCCGGGCCTGGCTTGGAATATGAGCCGCCAGGGCTGGCACCTCACTTTCACTATGGATCTAAGGACTCATATAGAGAACTTACAGGGATCTATAAGGGGTTCTGTAACGGGATCTATAGGGTTCAGGGATCTAAGGACTCATATATTAAAGCTTTTGGGCCCAAAGACCATACTGTGTAAGGCTTTTGGGCGATTATGATGCCCAGGGTTTGGGGTTTAGGGTCTTTAGAGTGTTTAGGCATCAGGGTCTATAGGGTTTAGGGCAGGGTTAGGGTGTAAAGTCTATAGGATTTATATAAGGTTTAAGGAAAGGGTTTACGGTTCGGGGTTTGATCCTCACAGGAAGCCCTGAAAACAAAAGCTGAGGCGCGGCTTTGAGGACCTCTGGCTGGGCTTCCTCAAGTCTTGCGATAGCCCAAAGGGAGTTTGCCAGGTCAAAGGCATTCATAGATCCAGCTGATTCCTTGCTCAGGGTTTAAAATACCAGGAGTCTTCAGAACACAGAAGAAGCGGGTTCGGTTTGGGGGATATACAGTAAGCATAGAGTAAAGGGACTGCCCAAGGGCATGGTATTGCCTCTGTGGCCTTTACGGGGTTTCGTTACGGAGCGCATACGTATAGCCTTGTGGCCTTGTTCAGGGTGTATGGCATGTTGGGGTTTGGGGTTTCGATATGGGTTCAAGCCGGACACGTATAGAACCCTAGAAACGGTTAAGGGCTTCAGGGTTTGGGGCTCGCGTCTGAGAGCGGCCTATATGCACGAATCCCAAGCCCGGAAGCTAACCCACAAACCCCGAAACGTCACCGAATCACGCGCTAAGGGACCCTAAACCCTAAACCCAGAACTCCAAGGAGTTCTTAAGGAGGGACTCTTAGGGTTCTGAGGCTTCTCGGAGAGAGCTTCAGGTCTATCAAAGGGGCAAGGGACCCTTAATAAGGACCCCTAGGTATGTACCCTAAAAAAGCCAAAAAACATACTCATTATATAGCCCATTGTAGGGTAGTAGGGTCCCCATTAAGGGTCCCTCCTTTTCCTTTTCCCCTTTGAGTCTAGAACCCAGCAGAACTTCTGCATCCTGACCTGGCGTCCCGCACGCAGCGAATCAAAGATGGAGAAATCCACTCGTGTTGCTCGCCAAAGGCCTGAGAAACCTCGTCTTCGAGTTTCAGCGGGTTTGGGTTTAGGGTTTCGGGGCTTTCAGGGCTTAGGGTTTAGGTTAGGGTTTAGGGGTTTGCAGGGCTCCTTAGCCTTGAATACTTTCTCAAGGGAATGGATAAGGATAATGAAGATACGCGAGATGCCGAAGCCCTGAACAAAAAAATCTCTACACTGAGGGTTTAGGGCTTAGGGGTAGTTTTAAGACTTCGCCGAAAATCTCTACATGCTTCATGGACCGCCCTTTTGCACCCTCAGAACCACCAGAAAATTCAACCAATAACTGTGTATGATAATTCCTTAGAGTTTTAATACTACAATACAAATTTCAAAATAATTCCTAAGATGACAAACGCACCAGAGCGACTGGGACGATAGACCACAGAATGTTAGCAGCCGCACGCGGCGTGATCTTACCATGCCTCGGACTTGTGAAGTGTCGGGGCAGTAGGCCGATGGTTGCTTCAAGGGGTCCCGTAGAGGGCTTTTGGTCTGTCATCTTCAGGCTTCCTGTACGCTTGCAACAGCAAAACCCATCAAAGGCCTCTAGAATTAGGTAGCCAAGCTTCTTGAGCACGAAGTTGAGTCTGGCAGACAGTCTCCTCCACACAGTGCTCCGAACATCTGCGGCGTTCAGCTTCCGCCGCTTCGCGAAGAAGGCCAACCGCGTAAAGGCCGCTGAGAGGTGAAGGGCGTTGAACGACGGACGATGCACCTGTCTGGAAACCCTAAACTCCTAAACTCTAGATGCTGCCGAAGGCAGCTTGGGTTAAAGCCACAGTTCCTGTATTCCAAAACTGGTCGGGATTTTACCCCAAGGGCCCTAGTAGCTTCTACTATCCCAATCCCAAGTACCAGTACTTGGTCCTTTTGATCAGCTTGGGACAAGTTGAAAGGTCAGCGACGAAGACAGACTATACTAAGCAAATACAATGGGTGTCCTTTTAGGGTTCCTTTCAGGGTACAACAAGGGATCCATGGCAGTAAACGGGAACTGAATAATTGGAATAAGGTATGGAGGGATTGTCTTCTAGTGCTCGGAACACGCAGAAGAAGATTGTTACTGTTCTGGTTTGTATATCAAGCCATCTTCTTCTTGACAACCCACTGGGGTGGCAATACAACAAGACACAAGCGACCTGCCATTCCCCAGAAGAGCCCAGTTACACCGGGTTTACGGCTGTTTGGGCTCGAACCTTGCACCACTAGGGATCTTTCAGTATTTCGTGTAGAACTTAGGAGCGGGGGCTTCATGCAAATCCGCTCTGCATAGCTCCCCTTCTTCACGGGCCCTTTAAACTTGAAATGGTAGTTCGTACAAACGGACGCGAGGAGGTTTAGGAAATCAAGGGTCCCCCTTGTCTCCGCGACCTAAAATGCTAAATCTCCAAACGTTAAAGCCGAAAACCCCTTAACCCCCAAAACCCGGCAGGCTTGAGTGCCCTTTTTGGGCACCTCCTTGTCCAAAAGAGCCATGAACTCCTCTGCCGAAGCTGTTTTCTTGATCCTGGGCCAGGAACTTAGGGACCTTCATAGGCCACCGTTTGGGGTTTAGGGCAATAGACGTTCCCTTGAACTCTTCAGGGCTCCTTAGGATTGTTCCTCTACGGGGCTTATAGGCATCTAGGTGCGCCACACCCTAAAACCCAGACGATTCCTTCAGGCCCCCCCAAAATGGCCCCCTATAAGCCCTAAGCCCTAAACCCCAATCCCCTTAACCCCTAATTAAACCCCTAAGCCCCTAAACCCCTAATTAAACCCCTTAAACCCCTAATTGACCCCTAAGCCCCTAAAAACAAAACCATAAGCCCCTAAACCAATTAAATCCCTAAATCCCCGAATAAAACCCTCTAAACCCTAGTTAAACCCTCAACCCCCCCCCCCCCCCCCCAACTGCCAAGACTCCTTGAGGTGAGGATCTTCGGACTCGTAGCGCCGCAGGGTCCCGGGCTTCCAAGGAAAAGGAGCAAGGGCGCGAGCAGAAGCAGACGAAGCCGAAGGGTCCATGTATTCGTATGACTCATACTACTGTTGATGATATAATTTGTATCATCAACAGTAGTATGAGTCATATAAACCCATATACCATAATTCCCATAGTTTCGGGTCCTTAAGGTAATGCAGGATGTTTATCATCAGCCATAGGGCTTTGGATTCAGAACTTAGGGATCAGGGTTTGGGATTTAGGGTTTAGGGGTTTAGGGTTTGGGGTTGAGGGTTGGTAGGGTGTGGAGTCAAGCTTACGGGAGCCTTTAGGGCATAGAAGTACATACTATAGGCACCTTTGACCATTGTCTGCATCCGTGGCTCAACCATGTACAGCTCAGGAAATTTAGTGGTCAGGATTTCGGGGTTGTAGGCTTCAGCTCGAAACCCTGTAGTAACCCTAAACCCTAAATCCTAAACCCTAAACCCCAAACAGTAAATCCTAAACCCTAAACCCTAAACCCCAAACCCTAAATCCTAAACCCTAAACCCTGGCTCTACCTTAACCCCTAAAGCTGGGCTTTGGGGTCTCTGAGGCTGGCCCTTGGGCCTTGATCCAAGGGGCGAAGTTCGGAAGCCGATGCTGAAGATTTTGCCGAAGGCGGATGTCGAAGTCAAACTTTGAGCTTCCGGACTGAAAGGGTTTTAAGCCGGGCTTTAGGGACTGTAGGCTTTGGGGGTTGGGGTTCAGGGCTTTAGAGACTGCCCAGGGCTTTAGAGTTTAGGGACTCAAAGTTTTTTTTCAATGAAGGCCCTTTTCCTCCTTGCTACAATCGGAATACCTAGTAGGTAGAGCCGGACTTAAGGGTTTAAGGTTTGGGGTTCAGGCTTCAGGGTTTCGTGTTAAGGGTTAAAGGTTTGGGGTTCAGGGTATAGGGTTTAGGGAGCCCAGCGGTGCCTTCACTGTCCCTTGTAGTTCCCGTTTGGAAAAAATGTATGTATACATATATATATATATATATGTATATATACACATACTAGGTTGCCCAGTAACCTAGGATTAAAAAGGGCGCCATTTTTTTATGAATGGTCTTCTAAGGGAACCGAAAACCACAAGAAAGGGAATAAGGGTACTACTGGGCATGCTAGTAAAATCTCGGGGTGGGAACTGGGAACAGCTCGCGATTAGTTCATACCATCCTGCTGCAGTCCCTATGATGTGTCAACAATAAACCCAAACAACCTACCCTAAGTCTATTTTGGGACTGTCGAGGGTTCCTGCAAATCCATAATTGGGCATTTTCTGGCGGCTGGAGTCCATCGGCCCAGACCCAGAGACTCCAATATCCCTCAATTAAGGAAGCAGCCAAGGAATATACCTTAAAACATACTAAGGGTCCTACGACAATTTCAGGTATATTCCTTAAATTAAAGGAAATTGGAGGCTATGGGAACCCTAGCTTGAACCAGGCTAGGGTTCCTAGGAAAATTTCAGGTACATTCATTGATTAAGGGATATTAGGGTTTAGGGTTTAGGGTTTAGGGGTTTAGGGTTTAGGGGTTTAGGGGTTTAGGGGTTTAGGGTTTAGGGTTTAGGGTTTAGGGTGATATCGGAGCCCATGGGAACCCAACTGAGTCGCACCTTGAGCGTGATCGATGCACAGCGATTGTTGAAGTTGCCCGGCCCACCGGGCACCTTGGCCGGTTGCAACGAACTTGAACAGCTGGGTTTTCCTCAAGGATTCCTACAAAGAGTTCCATAAGGCGTTCTATGATGGTTTCTACCAGGGGCTCGTTCTCATGGCCTTAATATGTAATGATTGGGATATACTGTACTGCAGCTATAACAAGGAAACTTAATAAGGCATACAATGACTAACTGTTCGGGCTTCTTTAGAACAGGGTCCGGGGTTCACAGTATGCGGGTTCTTGCAAGGCTCTAAGTGGGTCCTGCAAGAGATTGACACTGACAGTCTATAGTTAAAGTCGTATGCTTATAGTTTCAAAGAGTTTAGGGAGAAGTGAATGACTCGAAGGTTTCTGAAAGCCCCTGCAGGACCTAAAACAGACGCCCTGACTGAAGCAGGCCCTGGAGTAAATGGGAGTTTACGAAAATTAGGGGTACCTTACTTTGGGGTCCTTATAATAAGGATCCTACTATCTAGGGTACCATATTGGGGTCCCCTATTTCGGATATTTCTTCTAGTTCTTCAGACCCATGTCTTTGGTCTCTTGGCAAAGACCGCTTTGCGAGTTCGTTGAGGAGCAAGCGCTGGTCGAAATCATACAAAGCGTAGAGCCCGAGCCTGACGAATCTTACGCCTAAGCACGACAAGCCATGAATCCTCCCGGAGGTAAGCCCTATGAGCCTTCTATAAGCCTCAAGCCGTTTATGCCCTAAATCATCATCCCCGACGGTTTTACAAACCAAGGCCAACCCGTTCACTCTCAGCATTCATGTTCAGGTTAAGGCACTGGGGAGACAGTAGAAAGTGCGCAAGACATTCGCCACAAGGTTTATAAGATTTAACAGCACACAAATCGACCAGCCGCGCTCCCGCGAACGTTAATACCCATACACCTAGCCCCGAAATGCCCAATCCCGACCCTCAACCCTACTCATAATCCCTAGGTCCCCGATCCAAGACAAGCCGGGCTCTCAACATAAAAGCCCTGCAAACCCCCCCTGTAAAACCCTACGAGCAACAACAACGGCGCGAACCCTAAAGCCCACACCTAAAAACCCGAACCCTACACCAAAACAGTAAATATCGAGTTCAGCTCAGCGTCCCCCTCGGGCTCGGAGAAGTAAACCCAATCGTGCACGGTCCGACCTGACGCCAGGGTGCTTTTATGTTCGCCGGAGTACTTAGCATGGGATTTAGGTTTTAGGGTTACAGGTTGGATTTTGGTTATGGTGCTTACACTGCCCGAATTTCGTTCCGTGAATCGCAAACAGACATGCAAGGCATCAAGCCGGTCAGTTACTGGCATCAGCTATGGCATGCTGCTGTGGCCCACGAGATGAGCAAACAAAAACCTAATGGAAACGACTGTCATAGATCACGTCTTGCCGTACTGGCAAACACTTTTGAGAAAGACTTGGTCACACATGCTCTTCTGTGCTATACACTGAACTTAACCCGAAACACATGCATGATATGTTTCTGCACTCACACAGAACTAAATCCTAGATGCGTTCAAGTTGGCAGTATCCCACGAATCTGCAATAACTAAGCTGTCACCCTAAACCCTCGATTTCTGAAGCCTCAATGCCCCCATCCTTGACCCCGCAAAGCATAAACCCCCAAACCTTTCACCCCGTTGTCAACAGGGTTTAGGGTTCAGGGGTAAAGGGTTGCTTGATCTCTCGACACCTAGGCCGCTAGGCCCAGTGAGCTGCTCCGTGTCGCTGCCGATATGGCCGACATCTCTGAACCCCATATCCGTATACCCGAGAATGAGTTGTACCTGTGGGGCCCTCAAAAATATCTGAAGAGTTAGGCTCCCCCATAAGAACGTAATTGAAATCTAAAAGCTTCCCCACTGTAGCTTTCAGGGTGTAGGAGTGCAGCACTGTCGATCTCCACTGTTTAACGGTTTAGGGTTTGCCTGAAGTTGTCCATAGGCCCTGTTGGTCTTTAGCAGCAACCTCGTCCACGGAAGTCGTAGGCGTCGGAATCCAAACAAATCTTGTACCTCTCGGTGCTGGTGGTAGAGGAGAAACTGTTTGAAAGGCTGAGTGAAACGTTTGCATTGCCTACACACCCGAATAGCGAAACAGCTTTTGAAAGGATAAAAACATTCTTAAGAGTTTGCCTGTGTTTTGAAGTAGTGTGCTTTCGGTTAAAGATTTTGTGGTTGAGGTCTTTGATGTTGGTGGATACTTCTGGTGTGTGTGTGTGTGTGTGTGTGTGTGTGTGTGTGTCTGTGCGCGTGCGCCCTTTGTGTTCGTGTGGTTAGGCTTCAAGAGCTAACCGAAAGGGTTTCATTACCACGAAATAATCACTCAGTGGTCGCTGGAGTGAGTGGCTAGACTCGGCTAGACGCCCTAAGTCCTTGTCGCACAGATGACAACGTATTCGTACACAGGTCCATGTACTACCAGGACCCTTAGAAACCTACCTTTGTAGGGTTCCGTAATGTGATTTCCTTATATGAAACCTTAGATACCTACCTTTTCAGGGCTCCGTAATGTGATTTCCTTATATGAATCCTTAGAAACCTACCTTTTTAGGGTTCCGTAATGTGATTCCCTTCTATGAAACCCTTAAAAGGTAGGTTAGATGGGGTTAAGGCCCAGAGAGCCCAATACCCCTTAATTAGGGAATGTAGCCTAAATCATAATATGAAGCCCCTAATGATTTCAGCTATATTCCTGAATTAAGGGGTATTGGGCTCTCTGGGGGTATGATTGCAGAACCTCCGAAGGCTGGTAGTTCCGGACTTCCGGAAGCGCCTTTCAAACAAAAAAAACCCTGAACAGACCATGGGGGTGAAACCCTGAGAGGGCTTGGGGTATAGGGTTTAGCGTATATCCTAGATCCTAAAGCCCAGATCTTCAGCCCAAAGATAAGGCCTGAGCATCAAAGTGATGCACTAACACTGTCTCCAAGATTGCCTTTATGCCACTAGTCTGTGACTCACCTGAAAGAAGAGAGTGGCATGCATGCACTTGTGTATGTTTGTGTGTGCATGCATGCATATATGTATGTATGTATGCATGTATGCATGTATGCCTCTCTTGTCTGTCTGTTTGTCTGTCTGTCCGTCTGTCTGTGTGTCTGTCTGGATGTAGGGGTGTAGGTATGTAGGTATATATCAAGGTGTGTGTATATATATGTATGTATATATATATATATATACATATAGGTGTGTGTGTGTATACAGCTGTGTACATATATATATATATATGTATGTATGTATGTATGTATGTGTAGGTTCCAAGGAATACGTACTGTCACATTGACAATCTAAGACAATGAAGGTCCCCATGAAGGGTCTGTTGATGTGGCTTCTGATGGTTCCAAAAAGTTCCAAGCTTTGAAGCCTGCAAACCGGAACACCACATTATCCAGAGCTTCAGGGGACGCAGCTGCATGTATGCTGGGCGGGGGTTCACATAGGAACTGCAGAATCAAGGCAAATCACCAGCAAGGACTGGCCCTCACCTGCCGTGCTCGCGGACGCCCACTTTGTAGTCCGCATAGTCCTTGCCTCACTGAAAGCTTGATAGCTGTCAGGCTCGGACCGTTGGCGCCGCCATGAATTGTTTCCCAGCAAATCATTAAAAAGCCATAGCATACTAACGTGAGCTCACACACCGCATAACGAACTGCAGCTTCGTATTCTGGCTAAGTACTAATCATGACATGACACCAGCGACGTTTCTGCATACTCCGACGAACCCGGTTATCCCTCAACAAACGGATCATTTTCTCCAAATATTCCCCCCAACAAATTACCAGAGATAGTGTTTTCACGGAGCATTTGACCAATGCATGCACCGGTAGGTGCAATCAGGGGACTCTAGAGCCAGGTTCCCCAGTGTCCCCTAATGGCAAGTGGACAGGTATATACCCATAATATAGCTATTATATGCCCATTATATAGCCCATTATAGGGTAGGGGTCCCCATTAAGGGTCCCGTTTTTCCTGGCATTAAGGGGAGCCCGAAAATGAACCTTCAAGGTCCCCTAGACGTCGATGCTAGGACTTCCAACAAGAACCTGCAAACAAAAGGGGTATGTTATGGCAGTTCAAAGTGATTGCGAAATACTTAACCTTTATCAAAATGTAAATCCTAAAGCGGCCTCAGAGGTTTAGGGGGTTTCAAGGGGAACCGAACCTTTAAACCACCTTAGGGTTTAGGGCTTCAGGATTGTGTGTCTAGGGCTTACCTGGACCCCAAAAATATGTAGAATAATCGCCCTTTATTTGGGTCATTATTTGACCTACTTTGGGGGGGCTTAGGTAAGAACTGAGGCAGACGCCGGGATTGAGGTTAACCACGAAGAGAAGATCGCCACGCTCGAAGACAATCACCTTGTCCTCCTGTGCGCGCGGCTCCGAACAAAAATCCCTAAAACCCTAATCCCTAAACCCTAATCCCTAAACCCTAATCCCTAAACCCTAATCCCTAAACCCTAATCCCTAAACCCTACTCCCTAAAACCCTGATCCCTAAACCCTAATCCCTAAACCCTAATCCCTAAACCCTAATCCCTAAAACCCTAATCCCTAAACTCTAATCCCTAAACCCTAATCCCTAATCCCTAAACCCTAATCCCTAAACCCTAATCCCTAAACCCTAATCCCTAAACCCTAATCCCTAAACCCTAATCCCTAAACCCTAATCCCTAAACCCTAATGCTTGCACCCAAGGGCTCCGTTCCCCCCACCTCATCTCTTTGCCCTGAGATCTCACACTTGTGTCTTTCAACCAACCAACCAACCTAAACCCTAAAACCCCGAAACCCTGAACCCCAATCCGACAGATAGAGATTTGGGTGTACTATACTGAACTTAGAACCCTCGCAAAAAGTATAATTTAGCTGTTCTTAGGGATTATAACAACACGAAAATTAAAATTATTTCCAAGTACCCCTAAGTGTAGTGCAAGGCCTCCCAAATCTTGCTGCTCTCGGACTGACAGGCTATGCTAAGCAGGGTCATTACGGTTGATGATATAAATCCTGCAATACCCACACTAAGGAATATGCCAAAATTCTCATGGTTTAGGGTCCTTAAGGTAATGCAGGATTTATATCATCAACCGTTAGGTCTGTTTCTCTTTGGACTCTTACCCTAAGTTCTCCAAGAACTTAGAGTTTGAGGCTTCTGGGCCCGAAGACCATGCATGGAGGTCCATGGGCAGTTATAAGTAGGGTTATACCTGAGGTAACCATACTTTTAACCCATATTAGGGGACTTATAACCCCACCCTATATCTACCCATGAACCTCCAAGTACTACATATATCAGGCTTCGGGCTGTTTTGAGGCTTGGTCTTAGACTAGGATACCCAGTATCCTAAGAATAAAAAGGCCTCTCTTTTTGGTATTGGGTAACTTTAAAGGAACCTAGGACTACAAAAGGGAATAAGGGTACTACTGGGCATCCTAGTAGAGCTTGGAGATAGGGCTTCTAAGGTTTGGAGTGGCTTTCTGTCCCCCGACATGGATCCAGCCCCAATGCCCATAACGGACAAGGTCCCAAATCTGTGGGACTTCCGTCGCACACTCAAAGCGTTAGATGTCGGACTCCATGCCCAAAACAACATACCCTAAAGCCTTGCCTGTGCCCGATAATCCAAATCCTCTTAAACCGACAATTTCCTAAACCTCCCTCGGCCCGCCAACTCTGAACCCCAAAGCCGCACGCACAAATACGACACTCTAAATCCGAAACCCTAAAGCCGAAAAGTCTCTAAACCCTACGAACCCTGCCCTAAACCTGATACACCCGATACCCGACAAACTACCGTAAACCCTATACTCCATACCCTGAACCGTACCCTCAACCTTACTCTATACCCAAAACCCTACCCTGAACTTTATTTACTTTAGTTAATACCCCCAAACCCTGAACCCTTTACTCCATACCCTAAACCCGACATCCCCAAAGGGTAAAGTATGAGGCCTCATGCTGGCTTGAAACCAGAAGATGCTCGTCACTGGCGAATCCGGTGCTCTCCTGTTCCCACTTGGCGATTTCTTTCCTTAACCCTTTGCGCCGAACCAGAACCACAGGGTTTAGATCAACAAGGCTTATATGAAAGGAACCCAAAATCTCATTTTTGTATGTGGTTGGCTTTATTTGTGTTTAAAAGTGTTTTTTTGTATTTAAAAGTATTGTTTTGTATTTAAAAGTTTTTTAAATAGGTTTTTTTGTGTTTTACAGTTGTTAAAATTCTTTTATTTTATTTTTGGTGTAAAAAAATACATGTTTGTGAATTTTGTTTCTGAGTGAGTCAATTGGCTTCCTGTTGTTCTACCTGGTTTCCTGCTGCTGTATGTCTACAAAATTGTTGTTTATTTGTTGTTGAAGTTAATAATTTTTAAAATTTAATCTTTTTAAATAGTTTTGGGTTGTGATTGAACAAAGAAGGGAGGCCGTAGTGACATGTTGACTTGCCTTGAGACCTTGCCCTTACCCACACGGATCGACTGCCCATCTCGGTTCGTGGACACCGTTGGCCGGGTGTCAGGTGCTGAGTCGATGGTACCTGGACCGCCTTGGGGCCAACGTGCCAGGGCAGTGGCATATGACACCCGGGCACATGGGCTAAAGTGCCGGGTGGGGGGGTCCAGTGGTTGCGGCTTGATTTGTTCTCCCAACCAGGAGGGGAGGCCATCCATGCTTGTCACGTTAGTTAGGGAGCCTTGCGACTTGGATCGACAGAGGCAGAGTGCCACCTTACCCACACGGATCGACTGCCCATCTCGGTTCGTGGACACCGTTGGCCGGGTGTCAGGTGTTGTCGATGGTACCTGGACCGCCTTGGGGCCAACGTGCCAGGGCAGTGGCATATGACACCCGGGCACATGGGCTAAAGTGCCGGGTGGGGTGGTCCAGTGGTTGTGGCTTTTTTATTTTTCTCCCAACCAGGAGGGGAGGCCATCCATGCTTGTCACGTTAGTTAGGGAGCCTTGCGACTTGGATCGACAGAGGCAGAGTGCCAGTCGAGCCTCTCGAGGTTGCCTTACTTAAGTCCCTGCCCCATCGGGGTTGCTCCCCACACCGTTGGCCAGGTCTAAGTGTTCGGTTTGAATCCAAGCCTAGTGAACGCCTTCTCTTCCATTTCCTTCTCTCCCATCGGTCTTCACCATCGAGAAGTGGATGCCAACTGCTGGGATCTCAGCATCAGCTTGCTTCAGCTACTTCCATTATTATGGTACAGTCCTGGCACCGAGGCTCATGACGAGGATCCCGAGGACATGCTGCCATCGCAGAGGACAAGCTGCCTTGCATAGTCAGTGAGCGTGTCATGTATCGCAACTTGCCGCTGCAGCAGTTGTGCTCGCTGTTGCCCTGCGTAATCTACTATAGTCGTGTTACAGCTGCTCTGTCTCTAGTCTAAGTCGTAGTAGGCCCCCCTGCAAGCCGGCAGATGTCGTCGATGTCGTGGAGTGACAGTGAGTCTGTGGGCTCGGACTGGGTTCTGGTTGACGATGAGGGTGCAAGTACTGCGGGCTCGGTCGCGGACAGTGCTGACGACGATGATTATGTGATTCCGTTCGACGAGATGCTAGAGGAGTCCTTTTCGACATTGTGGATGTTTCTGGATTCTAAAGAGCGTGGGCAAGTCTTTCGAGCAGCCTTCCATATCAATGAACAGATCATGTTCGTACTGTTTCCGAGACTTTTGCGGGATTTTAGGCAAGGCAGAGTGCCAGGAATTTTATATTTCAATGTGACAGACGAATGGCTGTCGTCACTGAATCAATGATTTGTCGTGTTTGTACAGCCTCCGCGACAGTATCACGGATCTTGGGGAAGGCAGAGTGCCGGGTTTGCGTGTGTTTAGGGGATTTTGAATTCGACGATCTAGCCAGCAGAGCTAGACTGTCCGATTTGAGACCTCAGCGGTAGTGTGCGCAACTTGGATTCAAAACGGTTACCCAGCATGACATGCTGACTACACAGTGCCGGGTGGCAGTGATGTCCTCAGGACCCTGCTGTCTCCGAGGCTGGCTGCCTGCCTGCATAGTCTGTCAGTGAGTTGACTTGCACCATACATGATCGACATCTGCCGGCCAGAGAATCAAGCGATTCATGCATACTGATGTAACAGTAGTAACAAAATGTTACATATCATTGATTAATGTACTATATAGTGATGCATTAGTCACTGTTAATGTTTTAATCGTTGGACAATTGTGTGCTCGATGAAAGCAGTGATGCCGACGACCTGCTCTGTCTCTAGTCTAAGTCGTAGTAGGCCCCCCTGCAAGCCGGCAGATGTCGTCGATGTCGTGCAGTGACAGTGAGTCTCTGGACTCGGACTGGATTCTGGTTGCCGATGAGCGTGCAAGCACTGTGGCCTCGATCATGGACAGTGACTACGATGATTATGTGATTTATTTCGACGCGCTGCTAGAGGAGTCCTTTTCGACATTGTGGTTCTTTCTGAATTCTGAAGAGCGTGGGCATGTCTTGCAAGTAGACTGGCATATCAATGATATGATCCTGCACGTACTCTTTCCGAGATTTATGCAGGATTACAGTGAAGGCAGAGTGCCAGGAATTTTATATTACAATGACGTGCGAGACGAAGCTCTGTCGTCAATGATGAATCAGTGATTCATCGTGTTTGTACAGCCTCCGAGACCGCATTACGGATGTTGGGGAAGGCAGAGTGCCGGGTTTGCGTGTGCTTAGAGGATTTTGAATTCGACGATCTAGCCAGCAGAGCTAGACTGTCCGATTGGAGACCTCAGCGGTAGTGTGCGCAACTTGGATTCCAAAAGGTTACCCAGCATGACATGCTGACTACACAGTGCCGGGTGGCAGTGACGTCCTCAGGACCCTGCTGTCTCCGAGGCTGGCTGCCTGCCTGCCTGCCTGCATAGTCTGTCAGTGAGTTGCCTTGCACCATACATGATCGACATCTGCCGGCCAGATAATCAAGTGATTCATTCATACTGATGTAACAGTAGTAACACAATGTTACATATCATTGGTTAATGTACTGTATAGTGATGCATTAGTCACTGTTAATGTTTTAATCGTTGGACAATTGGGTGCTCGATGAAAGCAGTGATGCCGACGACCGTTTCAAGGTGCTCAGGGAGTTCCGAGGCAGAGTGCCAGACTTCTGCTGCTGACCATCAGAATCAGGCCAATCACATTGACCTTGGCAGTGATTACTGGAACGAAGCCGTGCAACAACTTCGGTGGAATTGTTTACACTGTGGCAGATCAGCTGCCGACTATACCACCGGGCTCCGAAAGATCCAAAGGGCTGCACAATTGGATCAACGAATCAAATTGGCAGTTGAGGCCATCTCAGATTTCGGAGATATGGATATGAAGTTGTACAAAGCATGGACCGGCCAGACAGATGTGCTGCCTGGGTCGATCCCGCCACCTCGGCCATGCCAGCATGATGTCGAGACGTGGCCCATGGATGATGTTTTGATTTACGACCATCCCCAGTGGCAACTGTTTGTTGGCAGTATTGGTTGCCCGATCCGATATGACCAGCTCCGGGTCAAGCCTGACATTGTCATCTCTATGAATGCAGATGACAGACCTCGGAATTTTGAGCCATGGGACTGGTATCAGTATTTGGCGAATTGTGGACCGTTTGGCACTGCACATCTTCGGTATGGTGGCTGGGATCAAACACATGCCAATGACTTTGATGCTGAACAAAGAAGTCATGAGTTCAAGACCATTTGGCGCCGCCTCATTTCAGATTTCAGAAAGATTATGATGTGCTGGCAGCGCTCAGCAGAGGAGTTCAGCCAGAGTCAAAGGCAGAGTGCCATCAAGGGCAAAATGATGGGCAAGGCCAATGGCGGCAGGGGCAAGGGCAAGACAATCAGCAAGGGCTACAGCGGCCCCTGTCAGGTTTCCAATCACATGCAAAGCCAGAAGGCATCGACGAAGGGCTCATTTGGCTATGGCTGCTCCTATGACAAGGGCTTCAGCAAGGGAAGTGACATGGGCAGCCTGTTCGGAAGAGCCGCTGATGGAAGGCAGAGTGCCGATGGAAGGCAGAGTGCCTTGAAGGTGGCCGATGAGACATTCCCTGGTGAGCTCGGTAATGCTCTTGCTTTGTTGGAGGCGATGAAGCTTCAGGGAGGTGGTCGGAAGCGTGGAGGCAAGAAGAGGCCAATTCGTGTGCTTGTCCATTGCTACGGTGGCATTAACAGGACCTGTGCTGCTTATTGTGTCCTAGTCATGGCCTTTGCCTCGATGACCATGGAACAAGCCATTGTCAGGTGGATCAACCACCGAGCCTACTATGCTCCATTCCGGGATCGTGAGTACATGATTGAAGCACTGCTGGAAATGCAGGATGAGCTGCACACGTACAGTTGATCATCGACACTGAACCCGAAGTCCATGGTCAAACAGTTCTGCTCCAATGAATGATTCTGAGCCGTCGAAATTTGTGTCCCGACACTGGCCCAGCCAGAGAGTCCTGGACCCGACACTGGACTGCTGGCTGGAAGTGAAACACAGTCCTTACCTTGAAAAGGCTAATAGTTACATTCCCACTTTCAGCTGGCAGTCACAGCTTAATTCGTGCGTTTAAACCTGGCTGCCGGTGTTACTGACTGAGCTTAAAAAGAAAGTGAGATCATGCCCGTCTCGGTTGTGGAAACTGTCAGTTCCTTTGTCGGTTGTGCCGACATGGTGATCAGGGCCGCTGGGGCGATTGGATGAGTGAATCCAGCCGGCGACTCAGTGGGTGCAAATGTGACTTTAACAGTCAGTCTCCGGTGATTGTAATGAGTGCTCATTTTTGCCTACTTGTGCTGTTGCAGCAGTCTGGTTCAGGTAAGGCAGAGTGCCCTTGTCCCAATTGTGCAGTGGGCAAGTCATTATCCGCCATGGAAAACACAGGGGCAGGCCGCCACCGCACTCAGCTGCAAGAGTTTTCAAATTGGCAGCTGACCAACTCATTGAACAACGCTCAAGCCCAAAGAACAAGTCAGGTCGGGAAGGGAGCAGGAAAGCCA